GGGCTTTTGTAATTCATTAGCATATATTCATATTGACTGCCTCCTCGAAAGAAACTTTAAGCAGAGCACTGTGAAGACCGAAAACATTGTGCTACTGCACAAGAGATAAAGGTTCTTTTGCGTTCATGCAGATAAAAACATAAAATTATCCGATCAAGCAGGGTGAAAAAGCATATGCAAATTTCAAAAGAAGTAAAAGAAAAACTTCAGTGCTAAGATCACGAAAAGGCGCTTAAAAACCAATCCAAGATTGAAAATTTGCTCAAATCTTGGCTTCTGTACAAGTACCAGAGGAGATTTTCTTCTTCTTCAAACAAAAAGACGCTGAAACAACAATGTAATCCTGCAAAAAAACTCTCGAGCCTCTCTCGCACCGCAGCAATAACGCCCAGCCGCCAGTGTAGCACCGCTCGACGCGGCATCGCTGATTGCTGCCGAAATCACAGCGATTATCTTTGGAGCCCTTGCCAAAAATGATCTGCGATCCGTCGTGCCGGACGCCTACCACAATCGCCATAGAGACACCTGGGTATGCAAATAGTGCGTAACAGCTGTCGTCCCAAAGAAATCGCAGAGCGACAATATTTGAACGTCATGCCCTAGGCCTCAGGCGCAGCTGTTGTTCGCAAAAAGATTTTACCGCAAAGCTCGGCCATGCAAGGGCACCATTATTATCTACAAGTCCCCTCGGATGTATATTTTCTGTGACTGAAGGACAAGATGGTACTGACACCTTTCACGTTATTCTAGCTGCTCGTCTAAAAAGTTGAGAATTTTCCCAAAACGTCTCAGAATGTGCCTTTCAAAATCTATCCCTCTCTACTAAGTACTTCAACCATGGGAACCAGAAGTATGGTTCAAAGCGAAGGACGGAACGGTAGTTGATCTTTTTATCGCTGTCGCTGGTATTCATTTGCAGAAGTTACAATTCTTCAGATTGGGTCTTTCAATCTGTGGGCCCATGTTATTTTGCTGAATTAAATGAACCAAAACATTTTGCGAACGCACATTCTTACTCAATAACTCATATGCTCCAAAAGAGCTTGTGTTCGAGCTTTGATGCTCCGTGAGTGTGATCTGTAAGAATAATTATCTGTTCGAAGTACGTACCAAAAAAATGAAGATTAAACCAGTTTTGTTAGTACCTCATATGTCAAGTTAAGTTCGCTTGCCATATCTTTGAGCAGTTCCATCACTACTCCAGGACCATATCCACGTATTTCTTCTTCTTCGTCCGTGAAATTTGCATAGTTTACCTCAAACAGTAGAATGCTCATGAGTGAGAAATCGACTGATCGACTTACATAAGGCTCTTCCATTCTTGGCACTAATATACGTAATGTAGCTCCTTTGAGAGCATCTAGGGATTCTCGTCTATTCATTGTGTGCTTAAAAAGAAATAATTAACCTGGCCTCATTCAAGAGGAAAAAAATACGTTATGAACAGCAATGAGAAGCTACAATAAGCCTTCGTTCTTGTCGAACTAATCGTGGCAGACGCTCACACGAAGTGAATACTACAGGCTGTCCCAAAAATGTGCCTATTGTTAGATTGTTGATGAGTCTCTTGTCATGAAGTCTTTCGAGAAGCTTCAGGTAACATTTTGTAGAGCTGGCTTCAGTTTAGATTTACAGCATGGAGCAAATCGGAAGTCGCTCTTTATTGCTGCAAGATTACGACGAGAATTCCGGCAACTCACTGTGGAAAAGTTACCGTTCTATCATACAGAAAAAGTTCTGGAAGCTGTTTGATAGAGTTTACAAACGTTGAGTTTGATACTTATCTTTATTTGTAGAGCTTCAGCGGTGAAAACTCATTTTTTATTAATGTCGAAAAAAGGCTGCTCTGCTTCCTGGCATAACTTTTTAACAAAGTATTACGAGGTGCCATATGTTCATATGTAAAATCAATTCTAATTATCCATGTACGGCTTTCTCTTAACCTTGGCATGGTGGAAATCTCGTAGT